GGTGCAAATTACTGACCTCTGTCATTATTTTAGGTGGGGGAACTTGCACAATCGGTGGCTGACTAAATACTTTTTTGCCCCACTGTATAACAAACTGTGGAACCTGCAGTAAATGTAAATAGATTTGTTTATCAGCTATAGCTCAGACACCAGAGTACATATGATTTTTCAAACGTCTCTTCAGTGAGCAGAATGATGACTGTGGGCATTATAGATTCAGCGTATTTAAGACTACAGACCATTGCAGTGTTTTTATACCGATATTTTTAAAGTAGTTTTATCATTTTATACTAAGAAAAAAAGGGAGTCTCCCACTGCTACTTTTGAACCAATAGAAAAGCTCCTCCTCAGAGAAAGAGGGCGGGCTTTACTTGGTGTCAGTGACAGAAATGAAAAAATAGCTCATATGAGTGAGAAGGACGATGAAGGAAACATCTGTGCTGTGTCTGCTCTGTAAGTAGAATCTCTGTGTTTGTTTGTCTTTTCTCCTGATAACTGATTTATGTTATTTGGAAACTATAAGAAAAACATTAAAATTGAAATTTGTGTTGATAATGTATATTATTAAGGGTTAATACCATAAAATTTCTTGGTGTGATCACACATCACTTATGTGAGGGGAAAATTAGCTCGGGGAATTGCTGTCTTGGGGAAAGTAAAACAATTTCTGGATAGGAAAACATTGTATATGTTATATTGTTCTTTCCTAATACCATACATGAGTTATTGTGTAGAGGTTTGGGGAAATACATATAAAAGTAATATTCAGACTATAATCATAATGCAGAAAAGGGCTATTAGACTAATAAATCAGGAGGGGTATAGGGCTCACACAAACAAACTTTTTATTAAGACGCAAGCTATAAAATTCCAGGATCTGGTGAAGTTTAAAACAGTGCAAATAATATTTAAGGCAATGAAAGGATAGCTCCCAATTGAAAAAAAAGTAAATGGTTCTTAGAAAGAGAAGGGAGGTATAATTTTAGAGGGAAGTGGAATTTAAAATGACAAAGAGTAAGAACAACACTGAAAATTACTATTTCAATGGCGGGAGTTAAATTCTGGAATGAGTCAAAAGAAGAAATAAAGGTAAGTAGTGATATAAACCAGTTTAAAATAAAACTCAAAAAGGAAATTTTAAATAAGTATAATAATGAAGAAAATGCAATTAACCCAAGACAGCAGTTAAACTGATGTTTATTTTCTTTGCAAATTAATAAATCTAAACATAGTTTTAGTTGAGAAAATTTTACATGAGAAAATACTTATTGTGATGTTATGTTCTAAGTTGAAGGCATTGTATACATTTTTGTTGTTCAAATTTAGATGATGAGGATGTAAACCTGAGGGGTGAATAAGTATATACTTCTGCCTACTCCTTTTCAAACAGCTGTATGGAAAGATTTTATGAAATGTTGATGAATGTATATGTTTGAAATAAAAATTAACTGAACTGAAACACAGCAGGCAGTGAAAAGCTCAAATCATTCACTCATTATATGAACACAGGTAGACAGTGGACGCATGACTTTACTCATAGTGTAGTCAGTGCACATGTTGATCATTTCAGCTGCTTTTTAACCATGGACAGTTTAAATTGTATGAATATATGGAGTGGTTCACCCGGTATACTTAAGGATTATATTCTTTCCAGTCATTTGATGAGGAAATACAAGATAGACTGAGATAAATAGAATAAGATTGATTAGTTTGTGGGTTTCTCAGCTGTTTGTGTGGAAATGTTCTTCATGTTTACCTCAGTGTCATTTCTCTTTAGTTCTGATGTCACTGCTGAGCTCCACAACAAACCAAGGTCAGTAACCTTCTTCTGTCACAGTTTAAACCCAACAAATGCTCACTGATGTGACTTGGGGTAATGTCAGAAAAGTGGGTTCATGTTTGCAGATTGGATTTTAAAAAAATGATAGTTGCAATGCAGATACAGCAAAACATCCTTTTAACAATGGTAATGTCATTTTAACCCTCACAGCTCGTCTGACTGTGAGTCCCAGCAGCTCTCAGTTCTTTAAAGATGACTTTGTGTCCCTGAGCTGTGAGGAGGACGACAGCTCTGCTGGATGGACTCTGAGGAGGAACACAAGCAGAGAAAACAAGACTCAATGTGGAGCTGAGTGGGGCAAATCTACGGGGAATTCCTGCAGTATCAGCTATATCTTAACAGAGGACATTGGAGTTTACTGGTGTGAGTCCAGAGAGGGTCCCATCAGTAACATGGTTAACCTGACAGTCACTGGTAAGCTGAGTGTGTGGAGTTAGTGTTGATGAAGCTGTGTGTAAATGGATGAAATGCTGTAGTTTGTCTCTGTGTTGAGGTGGATCAGTGATCCTGCAGAGTCCTGTCCTCCCTGTGATGGAGGGAGATGACGTCACTCTGCTCTGTAAAACAAAGACCACTCCCTCCAACCTCCCAGCTGCTTTCTATAAAGATGGCTCCCTCATCAGGAAGCAGCCTACAGGTCACATGACCATCCAGCATGTTTCCAGGTCTGATGAAGGCCTCTACAAGTGTGACATCAGCGGTCATGGAGAGTCTCCATCCAGCTGGATCACTTTCACAGGTGACACACTCACCTGTCTGTGTTTCTGCAGCTTTCAACATTCACAATGCGACGAGAACTTAATGACTGTTTTGGATTTATTTTAGAGAAACACACCACCACACCTCCACCTTATAATAACCACATGTCTGTCATCCTCCCTGTGTTGATTGCTGCATCAGTCTGTGTTTTGGTTCTTCTGCTGATACTGGTTCTGCTGATGAGACGGTTTGTTCATCGGAAACCTGAAGGTGAGACTCAGACTTGTAGACTATACATGTCTAGGTTTGTTTTGTAGATTTAAGTAAACTATACACTCATTATAATTAGATTATTATTTATTGTCTAGAGGGAAACAACTTTGTTAAACATTATTGGTTCATTTTAGCTGATCAAAAAGGAAATGGAGAAGACACCACAGATGACATCATGTACAGCGACATCAAAATATCAACTCGCCAACTACAGCCAGTCAGAAAAAGAGGTAATATTGTCCTTTACTGGATTACTGGCAGTGTTGGGCAAGTTACTTTGAAAAAGTAATTAATTATAGTTACTAGTTACTTCTTCAAAAAAGTAACTGAGTTAGTAACTGAGTTACAATATTCTAAAAGTAATTAATTACTTGAAAAGTAACTATTGCGTTACTTTAAAAAAATGTTTAACCCTCTGTGGTCCAGGGTATAACTGGCCATTTTTGATTTTCCCTCCACATTTTATCTTTAGAAACTATTTATTTGCCTTGTTTTGTATCATTCTTTGCAGCACAACCTCACGTGTCTGAATTTACAGTCATGTTTTCATTTTGACATACTGTATTAACACAATTGATCTAAATTAAGACAAAAAACATAAAATCAGACTAGAAAAAGTTATATTTTTTACTGTAACAACCACAAACATGTTTAATGAATCATATTTAATAACTTTGACAATTAATATTTGCATTTAATTTTAAAATTCTATAAACAAGTTTTGCAAACAACAAATTTATTTGAATCCATTTACCTTTTACCTTGATTTTTTTTAATAACTATTTCAAACTATTTACAGAACAATCAGGTGTTCTGCATTCAATAAGATGCCTCACAAATTATTTGTGCCACTCCAAAAAAATAATTTCTGTCCACTATAAAGGAGAACACCACAGCCTGATACCTGCAGGTCTGACAGCAGCAGGTGTATCACTCCTGTTCCTACCTGGAGACAGCAGTCACCTTAATGTTCTGACACACAACACAAAACTATTCACAACACTACACACTAACTACACAAGACAACACATTAACTACACACTCCAAACACGCTAAATGTCACAAATCTCTCACATTTTAAAACTCGCTCTCTGTCTTTTTCTGCTGTCTTTCTCTCTCTCTCGTCGTCACTCCTAAAACGTTCTCTGTTTTTTTGGGGTGTTTTTGCTCTCTTTTTTTGCTTCTTTTTTTCTCTGCTCATAAGCAGAGAGTGCTTGCTAGCGCTGTCCTTAGACAGTAAACGTGTCGAAAGTTTTGAGGAAAAAATGCCGCGTATATATTGTTTCACTTGAAGACGTTGAAGATGTTTCACTTCTCATCCGAGAAGCTTACACCCAGTTTTACACCTTGGCTCAGGCGATTAGAGGATCATCAGGGGGTCCTTTTGTCCCTCTGTGGGGGGATACTCCCACTAGGTTTATATCTGGGACTCTCCACCATTTGACCTTAGAACTGAAGAAGCTTCTCGGATGAGAGGTGAAATGTCTTCAAGCAACTTAAAGAAGTCCAGACGCTTTTCTTTGCAAGCTCCTTTGACTATTGGAGCGATTATTTTTTTTCCCAAATGTACTCATCTTTAAAATCTCACTCTGTGCTTAGCTTACTGAGCATTGGAATTACTCGTTGTGGTTAACACAAACCAACAGCTCTGCAGAAAAAAAAAGTTTGTAGTTTGTCTTTTTGTTTTTATTTTGTGTTTGTTTTTTCCTAAAAAGGAATATCTATAAGCCATTGATAAACTGTGATGAATCTAAAGTTGTTAATAAAATGTATCAAATGTTCTGATCTAAAACAAATGACTAATTTAAAAGAAAGAAGAACTTTCAGTATTATGTGCCATTTTTCCTTTACTTTCATATTTATTTAAGACCAACATGTCGATTATCAGTGTCTATTTGTAATTCTGAAGTTTATAATGATAGTTAGTGGTTTATTAGAAATGTATCTGAAATGTTTCTGCTGGTTTGGCCCAGAAATAAATTCTACAACCTTACAAACTATTTATAATTACCTTACACCATTAGGTAGTAGTTTCTACAATGCCAAAGCAACAAACAGAAAAAGAAAAAATGAACCATGAATAAATGAAACCAAAAAGAATCCCAAAAAGTTGATTCTGTTCTTCTGGCCTTTCTCCCACTAAAAATGCTGCGTCCATATGAACAGAATCAACCTTTTGGAACAGGAGAAAAGGTTTGAATAAGAAAAATGGTTGAGCCCCCCTGCCAAGCTGCCAAGTACTTTGAGCAAACTGCGAAACAAACTAAGTCCTTTAAATTCGCCACCTTTATCTTCCAATGATAATTGAAGCAAAACAGCACTAACAAAGCAGGCACACACTTTCCAGCGATGAGTAGCGCTGGGCCGGGTCAGCACAACCTTTGCTGTAAAACAAATTCATATGACCAAGGTCATTAGCCTATTTTATTTTCTAGAGCCCAATAAGTGGATGATAATTCACAGCAATCCTAAAGTTTTAAGATGAAAATAAACAGAATTTATAGGTTCCAAGATGATCTGTGTAATTTTGAATAATTCTGTAATGTTTTTGTTGCATTCAAGCAGCAGATAAGCCCATTGCCGCTGATACCAATAAACATGAAACGGCCATGAGTGAGGGAAATACTTTTAACAGAGTGAATTTATTTAAACTATGTATCTGTAAATATAAATATAACAATAAAATAACATGCAAAGAATAGATGTGAAAAATGTTAAATTGTATCGAGATTGTGTCTGCATGATGGTAGGTAGCATAATTTATTTTAGTCTATCAAGACAAATAGCCTCTATCGTGCATCACAAAAAAAGTGGTCCAGGAACCTGAAAAAGGGGCCTCATTCTGCCCCTGTATTTATCTGTAAAGGAGCAGTAATGTTAATTTATTTTAAACTGATATAACAATATGAATAATAAATGAAAAGATTCAAAAATATTTCTGCAGGATCAGTATCAATATCCATATCAGCAACTCTGCATGATCTGCACTGATGTCCTCTGTGTGTTTTATTGTGCAGATGGTGACCCAGCCGCAGTCTACTCAGCAGTGAGAACTGAAGATATCATTTATGGAGAAGTCATCATAAGTGACAAGAAAAATAAATCAAAGATGAGAGGTACAACTGGTTTTCTTTGTCTCCTGGTTCACTTCTACACCCAATAACTGATGCTTTGTTTTAATCTTAATGTTAACATTAAAATTTCTAACGATACATTAATTTTTTAAATTTTTATAATGATCTCCCTCTTAGTAATTAGTAACATCTGGTAAGTACCACCAGGTTACCAGGCCTATTCTAAATATTGCAGGCGTTGTTACTTTAAGAAACTCCTCAGAATCCTCGACATTATGGTGACAAAGCTAATGATCTTGTTTTAAGTTATCCTGTTGTTATTTTAGGTCAGTCATGAGTCACATGGGAATGATAGCAGTGGATCTAGACTGTTGATCTGTTATTAGTAATGATTAATAAACAGAATAATGTTTTTATGACTTTCTGTCAACTTTTGGGTGACAAATCATTCAGCAGTTTCGCAATTGAGCAACAATTGCCAAAAGCAGCTCAGAAGAGGCCCGCATGTCTGTGCTATTTGGGTTTTATTCACATACAGGCTGTTAGCATGAAGACAGATTGAACAGAACAAAGACCACTAACTGCATGCTTTCAGCCTACAGCCAACGTGCGGTTTGTAACCACAGCTGCAGCATCCTGTTATTGTGTTCTGAAGCTAATGAGAATTCTCACCCCAGTCCGTTTTGGTTTGGTTAATAATAGCATTCAGGTTGCAAAGCAACAGTTTACTTTGTGTTCTGTGGTGAAGTGTGTCACTCTATATTAATAGACTTGGGCAGCTTTGTGATTTTCTACCTTTATTATTTTACACAGCTGTAATGCATTAAGTAGACTAATTAATATAATAAC